CTTAGTCTAGGGTTGGGCAGGGACAACATAAAAAGTGAAATGTGTCACAAAGAGTCTGAGATATTAGCCCCTTCTCTCTCCACCTCAGCACATCACAAGACCACAACAGTAGGGATTTAAAGAACAATATGTATATTTAAAAGGAAGCAATTAACTTCAGGAGGGGATCAACATAAACAAAAAGAGCAATCTGTCTAGACCCTGCAACTATTCTATGGTGATTATAGAATTAACTGAAAAATTGAGTGTTTACTATCGTCTTATTGCATTATCAACACACTATTTTCCTATTTAATTCTGTAAAGCTGCTTTGACACAATCTGTATTGTTAAAAGCGCTATATAAATAAAGGTGACTTGACTTGACCAAACGGCTGATTCATTGAGGAACCAAATAAGAAACAATGGATCAGTGAATCATTGACTCACCCGATTCGTTCAAAAACTCAAATTCATTCAGTAAGGAAACACCGTTGTTAGTGAAATAAAGCAAAAAAAAAAAAAAAACTAAACAAAAATACAATGTCTTTACATTGTAATTTACTTAATATGAATTTCTTGTTCATTGAGTTATTACACGAAGAAAAGTCTGCCATACACCATGTTAACCGAATCGCTCTGCGTGTGTGTGTCCTGGAAAGTGTGCTGCGCCACCGAGAGATGCTCAAAAATGCAAATCAGACACATCATTTAAAAAATAATAAGAAATATAATTATATATTTTATAAAATATAATACTTTTTTGAAGAATGTTGAAATGTTGATTTTCATTTTCAAATAATTTATCTAGTAAAGTACACCGCCTGCCTCCAAAAGATCTAATCTCATTGGCTGGATTGTACAGACCATATAATCTCTTATCGATGGTTGGTCAGTTTACATGTCAATCAGAAGTCCGAGCCTCAGTGGGCGGGTCCTTGTCGGAGTGAATGATGACGTAAGCAGACACTGTTGGATGAGCAGGAGCAAATCTGCGCTTCTAATAGAAATTGTTTTAATGCGCATGAAATCTCAGTGAAGAAGCATTCAGGGCATACAAATAAAAACATTCGAGGCTTTACTGCAAACTTCCGGGGCTTCAGCCCCTTTAGCTGAGCCGATAATGACATGATTCAGCGCTTTAACTGATCGATGACAGACAGCAGAGGATAATTTCTCGAGGTGTCCTGGGGCCTCATTTATAAAATACTGCGTAGAAAGAATCCTAAATTTGATTTTACAATAATTTCTCAAAGTGCATACGTGTGATTCATAGAACGAACGTACGCACAGAAAACGTTTTTAGATGTGAAATCTATAAATTGCAATGATCTTGAAACTGTGCGCAGCTGAACAGTTTCAGATCTCCGCCTTGTAAACAATGTCTAATTAATGTCCTTGACTTATAAAAGAACGAAAGTATGTACGTCTGCTCAGACCCTGACGCGGCGCTAAGCTCTTTATAAATTTGAGTTTTTATAAATATGAACGTTGCCGTGGATTTTTGCGTACGCACACTCGCATAGACGCATATTTTTACGCAGCAAACATGATAATTTATACTTTTGACTCATCTTCTTAAAAATGGTTTAAATAAATGTCATGTTTATCATTTTATAAAACTTTGTTTTTACAATCACCATTGCCCCACCCCGCTGATACAGTATTAATCTTATTTGTGCAGCTCTTAAAAAAGGTCTTAAAAGTCTTTCAATTTGATACACATTTTGTGTAGGTATAAAGTTTACTCTGTTCTTCTCCGAGTTCAGCGGCCAATTACCTTCGTGTCTTTCAGGAGAAGTGAATTAATTAATGTTTCAACGGCGCCATCAACTAATATGATCAATAAAGGTGCTTAAATTATTAAATAATTTACTTACAAATACTTGAGAATCAGATATTTCATGATATGGTTAACAAGTTTGGCAATATTTCGAATAAAAAAAAAAAAAAGAAATAAAACCAATACATCAGTTATACAGCGCTATTGTGATTAAGTGCATGACGCCCGACGCCCTCGCATGAATAATTTCTAATACAAATAATTATTTACAATCTTGATTTTTAGGAATAAAAGCATAAAGCATAATCTTTAAACCCACAGAATTATATTGTGATCTGGCTGAATAAAAGGCTCGTGCTGTTAAAAAGCCAACAAAGAGAAAAGGTGTGTGTGTGTTTCTATTGTTCAGACACGCTCTCTCTCTCTCTCTCTCTCTCTGTGTGTGAGTGTGTGTGGGAGTGAGTGAGTGTGTGTGTGTGTGAAAGAGAGAGAGAGAGAGAGTGTGTGTGTGTGAGAGAGAGTTTGTTTGTCTGTGTGTGAG